TTTTTTTTTTTTTTTTTTTTTTTTTTTTTTTTTTTTTTTTTTTCTGCTGTGCTACTCAGGAATTTTTTATTTCTTCCCCTTCTTGTAAACACAGATTCAGATAGTGGAAGTTGAGCAGCTGGAGGGGATCAGATCGGGAGTGTATGGGAGGGCTAATGGCTGGGAAAGGCTAGGATTCAGAGGAAGAGCTTGGGTCCCAAAGACCTTCTCTGTGATTTCAATACAAATATGCATTGTGATATTTATAAAATATATGAAGGCCAGTACATGAAAGTGGGTTGTTACTGATTCCAGCATCCTTACAGGATGGTATGAAGTGCTGGTGACTGGAGAGGGAGGGCAGTTTTTCAGAGGAGATGTTAAATCGCTTGTGGTCATTGGAGATTGGTCCCCTCAGTTTGTTGTGATTTAGTGCATATGGAAGACCTGAAAGAGAGTTTAAAAAACATTCTGCTTGTTTTTCTTTCCCTTATAAGCATCAGAAATGTCAAGCCTGTTATTTCTTGCTTCTGCTGTACTACTTGTTTGTGCCTAAGTCTCTGAGCTATTAGACTTCAGTTGAAGGAAAAAGATGATAGTTAGTTGTGGGGCTGAATATTTAATGTAATCATCTGGGACAAAGAATGTTTACCAGGTACGGGAGTTAAATAGTAGCCAACTAAAGAAACAGAATTATTTGAACTGAAAATCCTTCCTTCTCTGATGCCTAGATTTCAGTCTCATAAATCTTGCTGTCTTGCAAGGCTAATTTTTCAGTGATTACAGAATATGAAGAACGTGTTTTTAGAAATATTAGTCATCTTGTGATGTCAAATGTGACCAGTGAAGATGAGGACAGTTGTCTTAAATTACTTGTTTAAGCACTATTTTCTTTGTTCATACTAGGCACTATGTCACGTTCGACTTGTTGGGAAAAATGTTAGCGTATTTTCTAATATCTGTTTTCCCTTGTGTATACAAGGCCTTTGGAATTTAAGTTCTGCTTCACTCTAATGTTAAAATAAGCAGGGGACACACACTTTTTTTTTTAATCAATCAAAGCAGCAAAATAAGTTGTACGTCCCATTTTTTTCTTTGCAGGTTACTTTAAAACTAGGTTTCAGGCTTGGTCCCAATGTAGTTAATTACGTTTTTCTTCTTTATATTTTCCATGTACTTTCAAAAAGGATGCTTCTTTTTTGTTTGTTTGTTTGTTTTATAACTATTGCTATATTGCAAATTAAACAACTGGTTGCATTTCATTGGTAGAGCACTAACCTCTATACAGCTTAAATGAAATCTATAAAATCTCTTGCGTCTTTCAGGGTTAAAGGTATTGTAGGATGAATATATGATCCTGATCCTTAATGTCTCTCTTATGCAACTTTGAAGGCAATTACAGGAAATATCTGTTAGTCAGCCTGTGCTGTGTTGTCCAAAATTTTTTGTCATTTTTATTCTGAGTTTTTATTTGCCACTGATTGTTTAAGAGGACAGTCCTGATTTATTTGATTTAACTTAGCATAAGTTGGCTAGAAATCTCTGAATCCATTTCCATGACACATCTGCCTGCCTATTAGAGGATTTGAATGAAATGTTCTCATTCCAGATACCAACTTAGTGTTGATGCATGTTTTCTAAGGTTGATGCCATGGGCTGACTAATTTGCTTTTTTGTGTAAGGGTTGGTTTTCACAGGAAATTCATAGCTTTCTAAATGTTTCTGGATATCCATTAGCAATTCTGTCCTGAGTTGCTTTTTTTTTTTTTTTTCTTCTGAGCCCACTCACTGATACTGTCCTCAGGAGATTTCTGGCTAGGCAGTTTTAACAGGAATGCTGTCAGGTGTAGTTCAGTTACCAGGACACAACTGTATTAATTACTCAGGCTCTTCTTTACAGAGACTTTTGTGATGGTTTAAGTAGTTACAGCCCTAGGCGTGTGAATGGCTTGCAGTTCTGCCAGATTCAGCGGAATTTTCCTAGAGCTAAATGTGCAGCACAGTTAACACTTGCTGATCTTTCTGTTCTGTAAGTGGCTTGCTTTTCCTTGAAACTACTGTCCTTTGTGAGTGGCACTTATTCCTTCTGGCATGCAGGTTGGCAGCATGTACCACTCTCACCTCTCTCCTACACTAGGAGCCTGAGTTTTCCTTCCGTTTTTGCAAGCTCTTCTGTGCCAACTCGGCATGTGTGCGCCAAGCCCTGGCTTCTACCTCCCCTGCAGCAGTTATGTTGAAGAAACCTGTACTTGTAAATTGGATGTCACACAGTACTAAAATAATGTCCATGAACAAACTTTAGCATAGTAAAGCTATCTCTTTCTCTTAGGCAGGTCAGTAACTAAGGCTACATTCCAGGCTTACACCTCGATAGATTGAGTATGAATGAATCCCCAGAATTATCATATTGTCATGGAAATGTAACAGAAACAGAGTCATAAGATGTGGAAGTTCAGTAAGCCTTCAGGTGATCTTCCATCTCCCCAAAAGCCAGCACGTTATTTTTTTTTTAATAGAAACTGGCATTCTGGCAGGTAACCTTGTGTTGCTGCTTTAGGAGATGATGAGCAGAGCGATTGGTTCTACGAGGGAGAATGTGTTCCAGGATTCACCGTCCCCAACCTCCTGCCCAAGTGGGGAGCTGATCACCGATCCGAGGTGGAGCGAATGGACTCTGGCCTGGACAAACTCTCAGACTCCACATTCCTTTTGCCCTCACGGCCAGCTCAGAGGGGTGAGCTCTGTAGGGAACAGGAGGGGTCAGAACTATGGGGACCTGTCAGTAGTGTGAAGAGCAGCTTTTGTCAACAAGTGCTGCCACTCTTACTGGCACTAAAGTGGCTTTAGTTTTTAAAAGGTGTTACTTTCAGATATTGTTATATCTGTCTTCAGAATGGAGCAAGTGGGTAGTTAACAGAAACATACACTATAAATGGAGTATTGGTATCATATTTGTTAAGGGTGCACTGAAAGAGACTTTTGGGGCTGATACTGATAGCCCATTTTTAAGGAGGTATACTGGCCAACACTTATCCAGTTTCTGATACCAGCCCGGCAGCTTGGAGAGCTGCATGCAACTGATAAGTTTGGTGTGGTGGAAGGCGGGGGGTGGCAGATCAATGCCCCCACGGTGAGGCTGGAGTGGGGCTGGGGCAAGCACTGCCAGGTTGGGGCAGACATAGGACGGCACCATGGCTCGTACAGGGGAGCGGGGCAGCTCCTGCTGCTACGTGTCGCTTTTTCAGGAGCCACTGGTCTGGAGCTCACCCACTCGTCCAATGGCTCCTGTTACTTGTCTGGGAGAGCATGAGGGGGCAGGTGTGCCCCTGGATCTGTGCAAGGCAGAACAGACTGGAGCCAGGGCTGCGTGGGGTTCTTCCTGGCCTGCCCTGCCCTGTCCTGCCCTGCGCAGATCCAAGGGCACACATTCCTCCCTCCCCATACCCTCCCGGACAAGCGGCGGGAGCAGGAGCGGGAGCCGCTGGATGAGAAAGCAAGCACTGGACCAGCAGGGCACAGCAGCGGGAACCACCTCCCCTGTGCGGCCGCTGGACAACCCGCAGCTCTGTCTCACCCCCCTTCACCCTGGGCTGGCCAGTGCTTGCTCCAGCCCCTGCTCCACTCCTTCCTTACCATGGGGACCTTGATCTGCGCCCCCATGCCCCTTCCCTCCCTGCTCCCCTTCCACCACACCAGACCTACCAGCTGCATAGAGCTTTCCAAGCTACCGGGCTTTGCTCCTTGCTGCCCATGTGCTGCAGCTGCATGCGCACATGCACGCATGCACAGGCATTTGTCAGCCAAAGTATCAGCCACATCAGGCCAATCTCCAGTACGATCAATTTTCCTTATATTGGTGCTGATCTGATATTGGACCGATGTATCAGTGCACCTCTAATATTTATAGTACATTTGTTAAACAAACAATCCTTGTTTAATGCTGGTGACATTGGTGCAGAGGACACTAAGTGCCATGTTATTCATCATTTCAAGTGTCTAAATTCTTGGGGCTCTCTTTTACGCCATACAAATTTTACATCTGCATTTTAAATCAGTACTGTTATCCCCCTTTTGCAGATTGTGAGAAACTGAAACAACAAGGTTCTTACTTGTCCAAGGCCACACAAGGCAAAGTTGCATAGGAGAATCCAGGTCTTCTAGCTCTCAGTCTTATAGTCTGGCCATGGGCTAAATAATCTTTCTTTGCTGTTTTGCCAGGAACAATTTTTTATCTTCTGTGCTTAGACTCTTCCTTCTCTCTTGATTTCCGCCCCCCCCCAGGCTTTCATGCCCGTCTGAACCGTCTTCCAGGAGCTGCTGCCCGTTGTCTCAGGAAGGGTCGGAGGAGGCTCACTGGCAAGGTATTATCTCTTGTGAAGGGGTAAATCTGTGTGTTCTAGGCTGATTGGTGCCAAGGTGCTGCTCCAAAGCAGCAGGTGGATTGTTCTCTGCAGAAAGTGTCCCCCGTACATTGTTTGTATTTCACATGCCACTTCTTTACTTTGAAAGACAATTATTTCATTGGCTGTCTGTAGTAAGACTGGGGGACAAGTATGTTTTAGCGAAGGATTTGAATCAAAGGCAGGCAATGAAAAAGCACCATGAAAGAAAGTATGAAGATGAATGGGAAGGGTGTGGGGGCACAATTACGAACTGCAGAAAAGGTATGGGCACAATGTGGGGGGAAAATAACAGCACTACTATAGCTTAGTAAGGATTATGTATGTTCAGAGGCAAGCAATACAGAGGCTGGGAGACTAACTTTCAGATGAGGGGAACCCCGAGTTTTCAGCAGAGAAAGAGTGTCATCTGCATGGCAGCAGAGGAGGATGCTCTTAGTAACAGCACTTCGGATGAATGAAAGGATAGCAGATTAGAAAGAAGAATGCAGTAATGAAGGTGAGAGTGACAAAAGCCTTGCCCCAGGGTTACAGCCATTGGAGTGGAAAGGAAAGAGCACATGCTCTGTTATCAAAAGAGCAATCTGGATTTCATGCTAGCTTGCTTGTAGCCCACCAACAATTTAGGAAAGGCTAGGGAAAGCCAGGTTAGGGTCAGGATACTGTGCAGAATGGTGAAGTTATTGACTCTGGAGAAAGGTTTTTGGGGATGAAGGCATTTTTGCTGACTTGGGTTATAATTTTTGTTGGGACTGGCTTTGTGTTTTTAGAGCTCCTAGTTTACGTGCACCAGTAAAGCTCCAGTTTCCCAAGACAACCACCTTCTGAAGCTGGGAGGAGAGGGCAAGATACCCAACCCCTGTGGAGGAAACCCTTCTTTTTTTTCCCATCCCATTTATGGGTACTCTTAAGGGTACTCTTTCCACTTAGTTGGCCAGACCTGGAGAAGTTTGTTGAGGAATTCAGTAATCTCTCCCTTTTTCTGACTAGGCAGACTAGATAGCACTTGTCCTCCCTTTCTTCTCTTCACTCACCTTCCTTAATACAAGCCAGCACTTAAAACAAGAGTCTTCAGCTAGCAGGAAATCTACTTAGGGCAGGGCTCCTCAGGCCATCTCTGAGTGCCAGGGCTTCTTGAAGACACCTTTTAATGATCCCCAGTGAGAAAGATAATATTTACTTGTTTAATTCATCTGCATCACCTTAAAGGGATCTTTGTCATTTGCAGCGGAGGTCACTGCTCCCCCTCCCCCTTCCTTCTCTAAATTGTAATCATAAATAATGAGTTTCATTCAGAGCTCCCCGCCAGCGAGCTGCTAATTACCCAAAGTACGGCTTGTAATTTACACAGTAATAAACCGTAAATTTAAACATTACGGCACTTTAAGTTAATAATTTTCTTGCTGTAACAAATAGCCCATCTTTCACCCCTGCTACTGCCACTGCCTCCCCCAAACCTTGTGTATGATGTTGCCCATGCAGCCTGGCAAGAGCTGTGCAAAACCTGACCTGTGAAGCTCTCTCCCCTTATGTCCAAAGCCAAACACTAGAGTGTTTTTACTGTGCAGAGATGAACAGCCTGGTGTTTCCAGCTAGATATGGGAATATGCATGGGAAATGAATATGTACCAAATGATGGCTCATAGGGAGAACAGAGCTCCCAGATAAATTTCTTCATCATGGAATATGCTTTTGCGTGAACATGTGTGGATCCCTCTACTGAGCGTGCTGCTTTGTGGTAGCTGAGATCCAGGAGCTCTGTTTCCCAAGCAAGGGGGGTCAGTGCATTGTTGATGGCCAGAATCTGAAGATTTATTGTGGAAAAGCAGAAACTATGAATATGTTTGTGGGCTTTATTTTGTTTACTGGGTCTTACCTGGTTTTTGGAGGAGGGGAGGAATGTCTCAGATGAAGTGTTTCACCTCTCTTGTGTTTCAGGAGACCAGCATGAGCACTCTGGGTACTGAGAGGATAGGTCATATCATTAATGACCCACGCCAAAAAGAGTAAGGAGTTGTGTGTTACCATATATGGTATTGAGGATTTTGGGTGGATGAAGGGGCAGAAGATACCCATGGGCTCTCCTGAGACTCTTTTTCTGGGTACTTGGTGGGAGCAAGGGAAGTGAAGCCCTATCAGCATATTGTGTCAAACAGGAGGCATTTTGGTCTTCAGGTTACTGTTTCATTCAAATCTATTTGCATTTGCTCATATCTGTTTGTAATAAGGCTGTCTGTGTGCAGCTACTGCATGCCATCCTTTCAGTTTATGCTGAACTGTTTTTCCCTTGATTTATAACATGCATTTGCAAGATCCAGGGATCCCCACCCCAGCCTTGGGGAGATGATGCTGATTACCGAAGTAACATCATAGGGGAAGAGCACCCCTGGGCATGAGTCTGGATAGCAAAAATGAGGCTGATAAGGCAGTCACCAGTTTGCCTTCTCTACAGACAAAGTGTTCTGCTGTTTCCCTCTCAAATCCTACTATTCAGACTTTAAACCTGGCCAGCTCTACAGATCTTCAGAGTGGATATTTTTATAACAGCCCTTTTGGGCAGCTATGAGAGAGGGTTGACTACTGATTTATGAAGTAATGGATCCAGTCTTCACCAGTTAACTGGCATTCAGACTCACTCCCTGTGTCTGAAACTTGTAATTTTAGTACAAGCTCTATTGATATTTAACCAATCTCTCTTTCTCTCTTCTCTTCCCCCCTATTCTATGCCTGTTTCTATATGTATTTTTTTCTTATCTCTCCTTTTTCCCCAACCCATTTTTCCTTGTCTCCACTCTTTTCTGCCTCTCTCCAGTTTCTGGTTACCATCAATGGGGAAGAGAGATCGCAACCAGGTAAGCCAGTTCTGCTCTGCCCTTTTTATTTTATTTGGTTTCCTTTTCTCTAGAAACAACAAAGTACTGGCTTCAGATTTCCCTCATGTTGCGGCCTGTGTACATGAGGTAAGGCTGCCCCATCCTTTCATCTCGTAGGGGTAACTGATCTCTTCTGAGCTCCAGCCACATCCCTCACGCTGGGGCTCATATTCTCTGTCTGTGCTGAGGAGTTCCCTAGAAACTCAGCTTTTTCTTTGCATCTGCCTTATTCAGGCTGGTATTTATCTTACTTGACAAATGGTTAGAAAGGGGGTTCCTTGGCTGGAGGAACTCTGGTATCCCAGAATTCCCTGCAAACCTCTCTTTAAACCCTTCACTTTCATGTCATTGGGTCATGCTTCTCTGCAAATCAGGTGGTCAAGGAAGAAGAAAAACTGATGGCTTAATTGTACTTTATGACCAGACCAGAGAGGTAGTGGAACAAAGAGAATAATGACCCCTTCCACACTTCATCCTCCTTAGGTGTGCACGTGCACTGCCAAGTCTCGTACTGTGTAGATCAGATTCTGTGGCCGATGGCTGGCTCTTCTACCCATAGCAGAAGAACCAGGTCTTTGATTCTGATAAGGCAAAAAGTATTATCCTTTGGGGCACTGGTGCTGTGTGACTGCAATAACTCCCCATTTTGTTTAGTGACAAGACACTGCTCTTGTTTCATGGACACTGATGTTGACTGCACCTTTTTTTAAAAATTGGATTTCAGTTGTATTGTCTTTTTTAGTTAAAGCTGAAGGAGGGAGAACCACTGTGCTACTGATAATGTGATCCTTCCTTTACTTGTCAGAGTATCACCCAGAATGTTTGAAACATTGTCAGAGGAGAGGCTGACTCTGCAGAGCTGGAAGAAATGCCCTTTTAGTGATGAACTTAAATAGCTACAAGGGATCAGTAGAGGTCCCTCCTTACTGTAATGTTGTTTGCCTGACAGGATATGATAGACTATATGATAACAGATGCTTATAGTGCTTCTTTCTGTATAAGGTCCGATTTATAAAGAACGCTTCTGATTTCTCAGTTTCTGACTGGTATTGATACTTAGAGTCCTGCCACTGTTGGAGGATAGTTATTATTTCATCCCTTTTTTTGGAAGCAGGAATAAAAGATCCCAGTTCTTTTAAGAGAGAGTGCCATGACTATAGCATTTTACAAAGCAGATAAAATTGGATTACTTGCCTTGAAGAGCTTCCAGTCTATGTTGAGTGAAAATAGAAGGTGCAGAGGATGATGCATATGGTGACTTGGAAGGTTAATGCAGGTGTTGGGGGATAGCTACCAGGATATAGTCTGCATTCTGCTTGCAGAAATAATGAGTGTTGCCCTGTGGTTGAGTAGTAACTATTCAGTCCCCACCCCATCCCTCAAAAAGAATGGTTTTCTAAGGCTGTGTCTTTGAAGAGAAAACTTAACTAGTTTTGTTTAATATTTCTTAAGCTGTTCCTGTGTCTGTATTATGAGAGAAGATCTAAGGGTGTTCTGATGAACAGAAGGAGGGGAGTTCTTGTCTCAGAGATTGATTTCATGTGCCTTCCTACTGAGAGAGATCCTGCAGATTGTGGTGGGGATCTCACATGGAGCTATTTCTTCTGTGGTGGGAAAAACTGTCAGCTGTCCTTGGAATTAGCTTTGAAAGCGAGCTTTTGAGGGTGTTGTCAGAGTCTCCTAGTAATATCTGCATTGATGTAGGTGTCCAGGCATTATGAGGTTCTCTGCTTGTACCATGTATGCGAGTAGTCTTGACCGTCAAGTTGAGCTTATGGGCAGGGATCCGCCTTAGTGATGTGGGCTTGGACCATGGAGTGTAGTCTCAGGAAGTCCTACATATGCTTTTGTTTATCTAACATTCATTGTTGTGCTCTGAACTAGTAGAGCAATACTGCAGTGCTTCTGTAGTATCCTGAGAGTCAGCTATTGCTTCTCTACAAGTATTGGAGAGTGTGAATAAAGCATGAGTAAGAAGTGGAATTGAGCAGTTGACCCTGAAGACAGACAGTTCCTTTAAACACTTTGCTGAAATAAACTCTCTTGATTCTTCTTTTTTTTTTTCTCTCCCCCCCCTCCCCCCACCCCCCAGTTCAATCCATTATCTCCTCTCTACTCTCTGGATGTTCTTGCTGATGCATCCCACCGAAGATGCTCACCGGCACACTGCACTGCCAGGTAATTCCTCCATTCTACTCCTGCTATGCAGGCCATTCTTCATGTACCCCCTTGGGTGTTTGCTTGGGTCCTTCAGAACTAGCAGGTCCATAGGTTAATGCACTCACCTTTTCCCTTGGAAGCCTGTGTCCCGATCCTGATCAAGCACCTCATTCAATGAGTTTGGTCCCCTCTCAGTTGCCAAGGGATATGTAAAGTGGTGAACACTAAAGTGCTATGAGCCAGAATGCCATCCATATTTAAAATAGACTGGATACCTGCCACATGGTGCCTGCTAATATCAGCTAGTGGATTGCTGTTGATGCAGGTAAAGATGCCCACAGTTATTGTTGCAGCTAAGGACAATTGAAAACCAACTGAAAACCAAAAAGGTGATTATAAGCTAGTATGAGTAAGATTACTGAGGAATCCTAAGAAACCTGATTATTGAAAGTGGTCATTTTGAACAGAAGAATGTGGCGCTCTTGGAGACTTACGTTTGAAATGGCCAATAGTTCACGCGTGTTTGAGTTGGTATTGCTAAATTCAAGGGAAGAGGTCATGTACTATACAAGTGCCCTCTGCTGGTCAGCCCTGAATGTAATTGAAGTGCTTGTCCCACAGGAATCAGTCCAGGTTTCAAAAGTGATGGCTCTCAATTCCTCCTGTAGTTTCTCAAGAAGCTGAACTTCATTTCTTATCCTAATTTGTGATGTGATGGTACTGGCTGCTGTTAAACAAGCTGTTTGTTCTACTCCAGAAGTGGCTGCATTTCAAGTGCTTGCAATGTAGGAGCAAAGTGGTCCCTGTAGAATAGATGGTATGAAAAGGACTTTAGAATCTGTTGAGATGAAATGTGCCAGGCAGCCCCATGTGTCTGGCTGAGACTGAAATCCACAGTGCAAGAAACTTTTTTTTTTATATAAAAGATATCAAAAGCCAACACACTTTCATAAACTCCATTACAGGAACATCCCCACAACAAACAGATGTCTTTCACAGCCAGATTCTCCTTTAACTCCATACAGACACGCTAAAAAGACCATAAACAGTATTGCTTACTCCTTGGAGAATGTTCAGAGGTTACTCTGTGGGCTTACTTGTCCATAGATCCATTCCACGCTTGTTTATTCATGCTTCTTTAAACTCTGTACAACCTGCTTCCCTTCCTAAAGAATCTGTCTGTCTGTCTAGAAAGAAAGTTTTAAATCCTGAGATCATGTGTGGTGGGTTTAGAAATAGGCTTGTCTTGATGTTTTGGAAACCCACTATCAGTTTGATGCTTTGCATGCTAGAAAGGGCTGGGGTTTTGGGGGGGGGGGTTTCCCCCTTCAACTTCTTGTCATCTTTTCTGAACACTAGTTACAGTTGTGAAAGGCTTTTCAAAGGCACTTGATGGATGTGTGGTTATCGGGTTCAGTCTGTTCTCCTCCCCCATGGAAGTGTTTACTTCTCTGGTGGCTTTTGGTGCCATTCATTTGGCAGCACAGTGAGCAGTTTGGAACCATCATTTAAACAGAGCCGCTAGCCAGAATGCTCAGTACAGAGCCATGGGTGTGCAAGAAGGGCTTTTCAGTGTCAAGGAGAATGTTCTGTGGAGAGGGTTTCTTGGGAAGACTCAGTTGAAAGGCTGTATAAATTGTACTGTACCAAGATTTCCTTTCTTGCTTTATCTCTGCGATGAGGAGAGATTTCATTCAAAGTGCCTGGGTAGCGCTGGGAATTTCACACCCATCATTAGAAGCAGTTTTGTGTGTGTGGTGACTTATTAGTGGTATAATTTTATTTTGCAAAGCGAGGAGAGTTTCCTTCTTTCTTGCAGCTCTCCCCAGGGATAGTTGGTGTATTAATTTGCTGTATTGCCTCCTGGCTGTTCCCAGGCTGTTTTTCTTCTTCATCATGGAATTTTTAATGGCCCTGCCACCTCTTGGGAGGCATGCAAGGAAGAGTACCTCGGGGATCTCTTTCCTTTTTTCACATGCCTATAATTACTCTCCTTTAAGAGCACAAAGTGTTTGCTAATCACGCCTCATCTGTTAAGGTTGCTTGTCGATGCAGCCTTTTAGAACAAGCAAGTAGGATCCTTAGGCAAGTAGGTCCATGCAAGGCTATACCTGCCCACAACCATCCACTTTTTCTTGCATCCTAAAATAGTGGTTTGAGCAGTGCATGGTTTTCTTTTTCAAGCTTCTTACAATTAATGCACTTGAGTTGACTTTAAAGCTCAAGCAGGGCACATGGTTCAATATTAGGACATTCTGTCATTCCATATTTAGGAAGTTGTCTCGTGTTTGCTGTTGCACCATTGGTCTGATAACACAGTATTCCCCAGACTGTGGGTGAGGTTTTCATAGTAACTTTACCCTTTGCTTCCCCTTCATCTGGGCATTTGTGCCTATTGGAATTATGGGTGCAGGGAAGGCAGGTGGTTTCCAGTGCCATTTGGTGCTTGGCTAGCTTCCAACATAGAGCTGAGGTGGAAATGTGTTTACTGTTCTTATGATGGTTAGAAGAATAGAGGCATGGTCAGTAGCCAGAGCAGCAGCAAATTTGGATTAAGAAGGTGTAGTTGAGAGTTTAGAAGTATAAGTCAGGGAGACATTTGATCTATGCCCCTAAATCAACAATAGAGGCCTGTTGGCATGTGCTCTGGATTAGTTCTAACCAACAGAGCAGTTTCCCCAGGCAGTGGAAGGGGAAATCTAATATCTGCATGGAACAGAAGTCAGAAATCTTAGCTTTTCCCCTTAATACAGTGTTGGTAGCACTGGGCTGTGGATTTTGTAGCACTGTTAGAATAAAATTGCTGGGATGCCTGTGCTGGCAGATACAGCTCCTGCAGTGTGAGCACAGACAAGTAAAATCTTGTTTCTTCTCATCTGGATCTATGTAGAGACCACTGCACATATGTATTTCCCTCAGTATATAGGAATGATGAACTGCTGAGGATAGCTGAGGCCAGAGGACAAGTGTGGATAATTGCAGGTTACCCCTTCTCCCATGTTTGTATCCCATTTCTGTCATTGCAACCAAATGTTCATATTCTCAGAAAATTTAGTATGTATGCACAGATGTCTTCAGCAGTCAGATTTTTTTCACAGAATCATAGAAAATCACAGTTGGCCCATCTTTCTCCTTTGAAACCTTCCATCCTCTTTCCCACTTAGCTGGAGCACTTCTCTCCCTCTCTGCTAGAACCTAGTTGATATTCTGCTGAAGGACCCTAATCAGTATTTGTGACAGGCTTGCAGTGAACAGCTGCTATCAACCCAGAGTGTTGTAGTGATAGAGAAAGAGGGTGGTAAGGGACCTCCAGAGATCATCTAGTCCAGCCCCCTGCCTGAGGCAGAATCATCCCTATCCAAACTGTTCCATACAGCCATAATCTAAACTCCTCCATAACACTGCCTTCAACCCTGACACAGCATAGACCTAAGGCGTAACCTGCCACAAGTAAAGCAGGGGAACCATGTGAAGCAACTGCCTATATAAAATATTGTCAATATATGCTCAAGAGGTCCTGGATAAAGGGCCACACACCTCGCTACAGAGGAAGGCAAAAAGCCTCACAGTCCAAACTGGTTTGACCGAACGATAAAATTCCTTCCTGACCCTAAATGTGGAGATTTGTCTGACGCCAAGCAGAGGAGCAAGACCCTCTAGCCAGGAACCTTTGGCTTTGCTCCTAGCAGGAGAATCAGCACACCCCAGTGTCCGTCATAGAGGACATAAAGGCATCGGGTTTTGTATCCATAGAGGACAGAAGACAACTGGACTGGCCTCTATGATGCCCACCCTACTGGCGAATGTCTTTGGCACAGACCATATGTACTTCTGGCTTTAAAGTGGAAGCAGGCAGAGGGGGTCCTGTTACCCTTTATTTGTTTGGAATCTTAATTATCTGGGATATCAGACGAAAAGCAAGTTTGACCAGGGTCCCATCAGCTGCTTCTCAGAATGTTTTTACTGCATCTTTTAAAATTTTTCTTGGTCACTATGATCATGGCTTAAAAGGGCCCATAAGATTCAGACTATTTCAGAAGCCAACTATTCTGTAATGATTCTGGACCCCCCTGGGGCAGTGGAGGGTAAAAAAGGAGACTCTGTCTTGTGCACAAGAAATATCTGCTGTGTGATTTGGTATATGGGCTGCGCACAGTGGCTTGTATGAGCACCTTGTAGTGATTTACGCACATATGAAGTGCAGATCAGACTTGGGTGCCCAGCTGACTGCATTTCAAGAGGAGGAGGAACTCTGTTCGTGCTATTAATTTTGGCCTTTGAAGCCACCATAAACAGCCTTCGGTTTTACCTTAGGGCTAGAAAAACAACCTTATTTGGCTTCTGTTTTCTAAGAATGCAGCAACAGCTGGCTGGCATGCTGCTTTAGTACCAGTTTCCTTGTTAGAAGTCTGTCTCTACTGAATACTTACTTTAACATGAGGATAATCTTACCCTGTGTTTGAATGACATCTTTAACTCTCCCAATAACATTTCCTTAGCATAGTCCAAATGCTTTGCTTCCAAGTATAAGGATAGAATATACTTCATATAAATTATATCAGCAAGAAACAGCAGTATGAGGTAGTAGCGAGAGCCTTGCATCTCAGGTATTTTGTATGTACACCAGCTTCTCAGGAGGAACTAGACTGAGTCTCATAATTTTGAATTCTTGTTTTCCAGTGAGGAGATTTTCACTGCACCTGAGGGTAGTGCTTGGCACAATTACTGTTCTGTAGAGAGCTCTTTATCTTGCCTAAATGTTACCACTTCAAAGTTTTGGATAATATAAAAAATAGGGGGGAAAATGCCCAGATCTGTTAAAGAGAATCTTCTGCCATGGTTGGTGGCATCTGGTTTCTTTTAAATATGGCTTCTTCTGAGTATGTGTTTCATGGCATGAATTTACAGTTTAGGCTTGGTTTTCATCTCTGAGTTGTTTTCAGGGACTTAAGTGAAATGAGCTGGTGTTTCTCTTTCCAGTTCCTTGTAAGTGGGTGTCCACATTACAAATAAGCTGC